TTTTTTTATTGAGTTTATTGGTACATTTAGGGATACAGTACAGTTACATTCATTGTTGGGATCATGTACCTTTACATGGCAAGTCTTGATTCTCATTTTTTTCCCCTTACCTCTGCCCTCCCTTCACCCCCTCCTCCCCTCCCCATCTACAAACACTTTATTTTCATCTTTTCATTCTCTCACATTTTTTTCTTTTCTCTTTTTGTTCTTCCCCTACGTATCACACCTTCCCTACATCTTTAGCTCCTTTCCTCCCATTAAATGTGTTTTTGTGGATGGTTATAGACTTAAGGCCAAGTTGGTGTGAATTTTAAGAGGCTCTTTTCTCATTTGTTTGCTGTGAAAAGTAAGTTACTTTAAAATGGACATATTCTGCTACATATTCTTGTTTCTTTGTTTTCTGATTCCAGCAAATGTCCCATACCAGTTTTACTCAGCTTTGTTGATTATGTTCGTTCTTACTAGCTTGCTTGCTTTATTGCTTGCTTTTATTCTTTCTTGGGGAACCCAAGGCCCTTGCTGAATATTGAGCTACTACCCCAGGCAACCACGTGTTCATTCATTCATTCATTCATCCATTCCTTCAGTTACTTTACTTTTGAAACAGGGTATCAGTAAGTCACGCAGTTCTGTAGGATGAGCTTGAACTCATCCTGCCTCAGCGTTCCTGAGTGTAGGAATTAACACACTCCCCACACCACATCTGTCTTGTTTTTTTTTTTAAGAATAGAAAATGTCATCCCCTCCTACCTCAGAGTTGGTCCTTAAAGAACTGAAGAAATTTATCCTCTAGCTACCAGTGTTTCTGTCTGAGATCAAAACTGCTATATTTATCATTAAGGAACAGAAATCCTAAGAAAAATTGAGAAGTAGATCCTATACTCATTAAATACAATATGAATTTATACCTAGCATTTTTTTTTTATTGAGTTTATTGGTACATTTAGGGATACAGTACAGTTACATTCATTGTTGGGATCATGTACCTTTACATGGCAAGTCTTGATTCTCATTTTTTCCCCTTACCTCTGCCCTCCCTTCACCCCCTCCTCCCCTCCCCATCTACAAACACTTTATTTTCATCTTTTCATTCTCTCACATTTTTTTCTTTTCCCTTTTTGTTCTTCCCCTACGTATCACACCTTCCCTACACCTTTAGCTCCTTTCCTCCCATTTCTAAATGTCAGTAATCTTATTAGAATCTTATGCATTGTTGCAGAATATTCACACCAGGGAAACTATTTGGTATTTACACATGTGGGACTTATTTATTTCACTTAGGAGTATATCTTCAATATGTATCCATTTTCCTATGAATGAATCTATTCTCTCGCTCTTTATGGCTGAGTAATATTCCATTTTATAGAAAAACCACAACTTCTTTATCCAGTTTCCAACGGATGGGCAAATAGGTTGTTTCCAAGATTTAGCTATTACAAACTGTGCCGCTATAAACATGGGTGCACATACTTCTCTGTGATATGATTCTTTTAGTTCTCTTGGAAAGATACCCAACAGAGGGATGGCTGGGTCAAATGGAACCTCCAGTCCAAGCTCTTTGAGGTATCTCCATATTGATTTCCATAGTGGTTGCACTAGTCTGCACTCCCACCAACAATGGAGGAGGGTTCCTTTCTCCCCACAACCCCGCCAACATTTGTTATTGTGTGATTTCTTGATAGCAGCCATTCTTTGTGGGGTGAGGTGGAATCTCAGTGTTGTTTTCATCTGCATCTCTCGAATGACCAGTGATGTGGAACATTTTTTCATATATTTTCTTGCTGCTTTCACTTCTTTGTATGAGAAATGTCTGTTCATTTCGGATGCCCATTTTTGGATCGGGTCTTTATATTTGGGGGGACTGATTGTTTTGAGTTCTTTATATATCCTTGATAATAGTCCTTTGTCTGAGGTACAGCTGGTAAAAATTTTTTCCCACATTGTAGATTGTCTCTTAGTTCTGCTAATGGTTTCTTTTGAAGTACAGAAGCTTTTTAGTAAGATGAGATCCCAGTTGTTGATTCTTTCTGCTTATACCTAGCATTTTTTTAAAAGTAAGTGGTTATAATTACTTTTATCATTCATTCCTTAAGCTGTAGGACTTAATTTTATTTATTTAGCCTAATAACCTGCATATTAATTTCTTTAAATTAAATGATCATTGTGATGCTTGTAAAAATTTGTATATTTGATAACACATGGAAAAAGTAAAATACAAATGAGACTCTTCCATAGTAAAAATAGGCAGCTTAACTTTTTGTATTTATTTGGCATTTTCACCCTTTTAGGGACATAAATGCTTACTTCATATCATAACAACTAGTTTCTTCAAATATCTATAGATCAGTTTTTTGTTGAGAATTTTAGTTTCTTGTGCTCATATTTTGATTCAAGCATTTTTTCATTTTTCTTATTAGATTGTTAGTAAAATCAAAAGTACTTTAACTCAAATTATTCCAATATTTTTATATTGGCTTAACTCTAGACCTCTTTAGATATCTAATGTTTGGCTTATGAATGTACCTGTTCACTATGTATAAAGGAAAATGCCCAGATTGTGGAAATTTGATTGTGTTCCAAAAGGTATAGTTGGTTAATGTTTAATTAACATCTATATCATTACACCTGTATTATATCTCAAGCAAAATCATTTTCATCTTGTGTCAGGTTCATAATAACAAAAATTATGAGTTATCATTTGTTACTCCATCATTATGTAATCATATTTGTAGATAAGGTGGAGCTAAAACTGACTTTATAACCTATTATACCGAAAGCTAGTGTGTTCAAACCTGGGATCCTAGACTGCTGCTCTTTTCCAGTAACTGGCAAACTGGGTTCAGCCAGAATGTAAAGAATTCTGGTAAAGGAAGGAAGCTTTAAATGTGGATTTTCTAGAAAAGGTTATTAGAAAGAATAAAAATAAAAGTTTTTATATGATGCCCCAAAACAGTCACTTTTACACTTTTCATCAAATACAAATTAAGATAATTAAATGAGAAATGTTTCAAATAATGTGAGTGAATTTAAATGAAGGGAAATAAATATTTCATTATTGAAACCCTTTTCCAATAAAACATTCTCTTGATTTTCCTGTACAGCTCCTTCCTTTACCTTTTATTATGCAGCCTTCACCATTTCCCAACTTTCATGTTCTGTTAAAAAGACAACTTCAGTGGCCTTATTTGTCCAGAATTTATTTCTAAAGTGTAGAATTTGTTTTACTTGAAATAATTTGACAGCCTTTCTAAAATCTTAATAATGTTGTCAACTAAACAGTCTTAAAGAGAATAGGATAGCCTTCAAATGCTAAGTAGAAACTGGGTTTCTCTTTGATCATCATGTTGATTATTTTAGGAAACTAAAGAACTTTATTATAATACATCTAATTTTTGCAGAGTATCCTACTTTAAATGTTCTAAATTTAGAATATTTCAGTGTTAAGAAGGCTGTGGATGTGTGAGAACCATACTGTTCTTTAGAAAACCTAACTTGTGCCCAAGTGTAGTAAATGTTTAATTTTAAAGCATTCTTAATATGTGGCTCAAGGGCACAGATTTACTAATTTATCGCTAAGAGTATCTCCTAACTTTTCTAACTAAACAGTTCAGCGAGGGTTTTCCTATTTGTTGACAGGTAGTGGTAGTGAGGTACAGCATTTCTATTTTTGTAAATTTTAAAAATAATATATTTCTCACTGAAATTTTCTGTTCTTTTTGCTTTTGTATTTTGTCTTTATATGTGTGTATTCTAGGGTCAGTGATGAAAAGGATGCACGAGGGTATCTTCAGGCCTTAGCTTCTAAAATGACTGAAGAATTGGAAGCATTGAGAAATTCCAGCTTGGGTACACGAGCAACAGTAAGCTCTGCCATTTTCTATGGAAGCATATTATGAAAAAAAGAAGGCTCAAAAGACACCATCATAAATCCGATTTTTTAAATAGACTTCAGCTATTATAAAAATTTTCATGAGGAATCAGTTTAAATCTTTTCCAGTGTAGGAAAACATAGCTCATAGCTACTTAGGCATATTCTGCGTGGACAGCAATTATTGGAAATAACTGTTTAAAAAAATTCATTCATATGTGAATATTTACAAGTATTTCTGAGTTTAATGAAAATAAATTTCTGAAAGTAATGTTTTCTGTTCTATCATTAGAGCATGATAATGTTTGTAAGTAGATTCTAAATTCACTTGGAATACTAAATTTAAATGTTTAAAATAGAAAAGAACTAAAAACATAGCAATACTCTTTTGTAGGATATGCCATGGAAAATGCGTCGCTTTGCAAAACTGGACATGTCAGCTAGACTAGAGTTGCAGTCGGCTCTGGATGCAGAAATAAGAGCCAAACAGGCCATCCAAGAAGAGCTGAATAAAGTTAAAGCATCTAATATCATAACGGAATGGTGAGATTTAAATAATTTAGTCCTACTAGACTAATTTCTGAGTTTGCTAAAAATTATTTGAAGAGGAGCTACATGTTTAATTTCCTACCTCTTGCTTTTCTTCTTTTTGAGAAGGTGAGTAAGAATGACCAGAAAAAGTTACAAAGATTTGAAAAGTAATAGGTACTTTCAAGCCTTTTAGGCAGAACGATGAGATTTTCATGCAGTCTTACTTTCCTCTGGCATGTCCATAAAGTTGAATTAATAATGGTAGATAATATTCCTTATTTATTTTCCTCTTATTTGTAAAGTTTAGTTGACTATTAAATTTTACGCTGTTAAATCTAAAATTGTCTCATATTTAAGAATATCATATTTGTATAAAAATGTAATATATGGTCAAAATAAAACATAGTCACGTCATGTGAAAATTGTACCTCTACCATATGTCTTTACAAATGAAGGTTCTTTTGATAATAGATTTCATAATAGCAAAATATTTTAAAATTATAATTACCTTTCTTCTTCTTTTGTGACAATAAAGCAAACTCTCATTCACCCAGGCATTAAGTAAGGAATATTTCTTCAATTCTTTTCACAAAAGTAGAGCAAATCATACTCTGAATGCACATAAATGACAAAATGAAAAATCATATTTGGAGTGAATATAAACATTTCAAAAATAAATCAAAATAGTTGATATAGAAAATAGAGTAAAATAGGACAGGGGATTTAGCTCAGTGGTATGTCTGCCTGCCTCGCAAGCGCAGGGTCCTGAGTTTGATATCCAATACCCTCCCCCAAAAAAGTAAAATAGAAAGTTTACATTACAAATTAAACTATAAATATTAAAGTCCATTCAGTGCTCAGAATACCAGAAGTTCCAAGAGCATATAGGATTATAAATTCAGTTTTTAATGGCCATAAGCCGTAGTCCTTAAACTTCAGTCATAATGACTTGAGCCAAATCAAAGGTCAGATACAAAACTATAAACCCTGACAAACTATAAACTTTTTGTTCTAAATAAAACAGACATAAATTAACTATATTTTACTTAAATATGCTTGTATGCCATTGAAAAGAGAAAAGAAAGTTTTCTGGAGAATATCAGTTAAACCAGACTATAGCTATTGAATGTCATTCTCTGTGTTGTATTTTGGAACAGTGTAATCTTTTCTTTCTGTACCCGGGACATTGACCTTTACAACTTTTGTTCATAAAACAAAGGATATAAGTGAAACTTAAAATTATAAATCTGAAGATGTGCACCACTTTTATGGTTGTCTGTTATTTAATTCTAACAACTAAAATTAATCTTTGATTTTATAATTTTCTAATTTAATGATTTAGCTCACAGTCAGCAGATAATTTTTGTAAAGGGTCAGATACTAGATATTTTAAGCTTTAAGGACTGTACAGCCTCCTTCATAAGTTCTCAACTCAGCTATTACATTGCAACATTTGTGGTATATACTGAAATGAAAAATTTTGATGTACTGTAGTAAAGCTTATTTTTACATAATACCCTGTGGTAGGTTGTATTTGTCCTACCTGCAGTAGTTTGCAGTACCCTGATTTAATACGACTGACATTTAAATCAAATAAGCCCAGCTGCACACAAAATACTGCACTCAACAGCAATAAAAATTAGTTATTGACATTTTTTCCTTTTTTTTCCCTTATTAAAGTAAACTAAAAGATTCTGAGAAGAAGAATTTGGAACTACTAGCAGAAATTGAACAATTGCTAAAGGACACTGAAGAGCTAAGATCTGAAAAGGGTATGAGAATGTGTGTTTGCATCAATCAGGACTTATTGTTTTGTTATTAATGTATCTTATTACATAGGGGCTTATTGTATACATGGGAGAATGGTTTACATATGCAATTCTGACTCGTTTATGAGTATATGTGTGTATGATGCATACACATATGTATTTGCTAGTCTGGTCTCTGAGTTGTTTTGTCTTACTTGATATGTGTTGTTTTAAGCATTTATAGAAATAGAAACTTTCCTTGCTATAAATTTATTCTTTCATTTTCATGGACTATTTTTTAATATAATTTTTGTAGCCGGGGATTTAGCTCAGCTGTTTGGTGGCCTGCCTTGCAAGCACAAGGACCCGAGTTCAATCCTCGGTACC